TTGGATTAGCCGCCCCCCCCCGACCCACCCAGGATTCTGCCCTGGACCTACAGTGTCTGGCGAATTGGACCCAGGCAGACCTGAGTTAGTATCCTCGTTCTTTTACACCCTGCATGACCTTGTATAGGTGACTTCCGCTCTCTGAGCCTTGCTCTCCTTATTGGTTACATGTGGCTACTAATAGTTAACCTCATCAGTATGATGGGTTGAATGAGATAATCACATGGAAACTTTATGAGTGGAGCTGCAGCTTCAGTGGGCATAATTATCAGTTACTGGGAACAGCCACATGCCAGGAATTGGCCTCATGTAGTCATCCCCAGGACCCTGGAGAAGCATGACTAAGTGCTAGCACAACTCCTATATGACAGTGAGAAAGCAGAGGCTCAGAGGAGTGAAGCCACTAGCCAAAGATCACACAGCAAGTTGGAGGCAGAGCAAGGATTTGAACCCACATAGCCCAGACTCAAAACAACAAGGCTGCTTTCATTTCTGCCTCTGTAAAATGGGGCAAGAGTTCCTGCCCTTCCAAGCTCCCAAGGGATGTGGTGAGGCTCATAGAGGAAGGGAGCTAACATTGAGCTGGTGTTACAGGCAGTGTCCTCCAGCAATGCTGGGAAGAAGGTCATTGGTACCCACTTCCCAGAACCACCCCCCACCAACTCTATTATCCTACATACTTGCAACTCTATTCCCCCCCGCCCAAATCCCAGGAATGACCGCCAATATCACATCCTGGCCCTTCCAGGCTAAGAGGGGTCATTCTCACCATCTTCCACATCACTCTCCCCCCCCCACCCTCACCTGCTGTCCTCTCTACTTGCTCAGGAGGATTGGGAACAGAGCCTCAGGTGCCACCCCCACCCCCCCTGCCACCAACAGACCTGGAACTCCTTCCTGCAGAAGTACAGGGGAGGGGGAGCAGGGTCTCACCGGGCACTTGTGGGGCCGCTCCCCAGTATGCACCAGGTGGTGCTTCTGCAGGTGGGCGAACTGTGTGAAGCTCTTCTGGCACAGGGCACACTGAAACGGGCGCTCCCCACTGTGCACACGCAGATGGACCTGAGCCAGGTGTGGGAGAAAGGCTGCCAACTGCCCGGAGTCCCCCAGCAGGGCCTGGGACCCTCTCTGAATCTCTACCCACACCTCCACAGGACCCTGTTTTGACATCAAGGCCTCTCAACCCCCTTGCCTCTCTGCCACCCTCCTTAGGGTCCCTCTCCCATTCCTCAAGATACCCTCTCTTTCTGTCGCTCTGAGGGAGGGGGGATGGCAGTGGTCAGAAGGCCAGGTGAGGGGTAACATATGCCCTGAGCAACGCTTCTTGGAGTGTGGTCCACAGACCAGCAACATCTATGTTAAAACGTCAGATTCTTAGGCTCTACCATGACCAGCTGAATTAGAATCGCTAGGGCTGGGGCCTAGGAATCTGCATATTTACTAGCTCTCTCTATAGTTTGAGGCTCAGTGAAGTTTAACAACTCACGCCCTAGAGGATCAAGAAAGGATCTTACCCCCAAATCTTAACCTTTCCTCAACTTCAGCAGTGCCTGACAAGTTGTGCATAGCTGCCCTTCTTTCCTGACAGACCTGTGCCCATGGTCGCCCCCTGCTGGACGTCAGGGGTACCGGTGCTGATTTGTGGCATCCCACTTGAGAAAGGCTGATCATCATCAGTTCTGCTGTCTAGACTCACTAAAAGCTGCATGTTCCCCACTCAACATCAGACAAATAAACCTGAGAAGGCTTAACTGTGAATCCAGAAAGGATGGTTGTTCAGGAAAGGGCTTTGCAGTAGATGCTGAGAGACTGAGATCAACGCCTAATTGCACCATTAAATCAAAGTGACCTTGGGCAAACTCTTCCCATTAGGAGCCTCAGTTTCCCCATTTTTAATTAAATTAGATGATCTCATAGACAGTCTTTTAGGGTGGAGAGGACTTTGGTAGCCATCTTATCTTACACCTTCTTTCTACAGATGTGAAACTGAGGGGCCAAATGAACCATCCAAGGTCACAGCCTAGATGCTGCCCAGGAGTTCCTTCTGGCTTTAAGGTCCTTGATGCTAGAAGCAGAATGGGAGCGGGGGGGGGGGGTCATTAAAGGGTGGTGAGGAGGGGCAGCAGAGCCCAGGAGGACAATACCTTGAGGTTGGAGAGCTGCCCGAAGCTCTTGCTGCACACATTGCATTCATACAGGATTTTGCCATTCTCTTTCTTCAGTGGGTAAGGCAGGGCTGCCCGGGAGCCCAGTGGAGTCCGCTTTGCTGGAACCACCCTGTCAGCATGCTCTGGCCCTTGGGAGTAGGTTCTGGCAGCTCCAGGGCCTGGAATCCATGCCTGGGGGAGCTGGGTTTGGCCAGAGGCTTGGAAGGCCCCTGGATAAGGATGCAGGATCTCACCCCAGGAGCTGTGGTGCCCAGGCCCACTGACACTCATCAGCACACTGGGCACAGCCCTGACTGGGTAGGAGGTGTCTTGTGGCAACATGAAGAGGGGGTGACATTGGACAGAAGGTGGGGCCCCATAGGCGAACAGGTAAGGTGGAGGCAGGAGAAATGGATACTCAGGACAGAGGGGGTGAAGGTGAAATGGGAGTTCTTTGGAGATGAAGGTAGGCAAGGGGCAGGGGCAGAAAGCCAAGGGGTTGGGGCTCTTTCTATTCTGCCAGGGGCTTGAGGAGGAGCTGTTGTTATAAGGAGAGAAGGATGAGCAGGGGGCTCCCTTGTCAGCTCTTTCTTGCTGGCTTCCCATCTCGTCCCTGCTCAGAGGGTACTTGGCTGTTAGTTTCTCATCATCGGGGGAGCCGCCATGTGGCCCTGGTGGCTGGTGCTCTGAGAAGGAAAGGGAAGCCGGTCAGGGCCCCACAGGCTGGGGTGAAGTTCTACCCCATCTAAGCTGCCTCACTCCGGGTTGGAGAGAGCTCTAGCCTGCAAGCCTGTTGGTTGACTGGGACCAGGCGTTTCCTCTCCCTGGACTTTCCTGGTCTGCAGTTGCACTCACCAAGAAAAGCAGCTAGTATCTGTGCAGTGCTGAACAATTTTAGGGAGAGAAAACAATTCAAGAAGCCTGTTAGAAATCTACATGGAGCAATCTACACAGCTGGATGAACTGGTTTGGAGTTTCAAAGAGAGGTCTGAGCTGGAGTATGAATTTGAGCGCCAGGGGCCCAGATGATATCACATGAGGACGACACTAGATCCGCTGTGTCCAAAATGGACACCGACACATGTCTATGTTGAAATTAAAACAAATCCAACAGAAATTCAGCGCCTTGATGACACCAGCCACATTTAAAAATCTCAACAGGTATGGTATTGAACAGCCAGGTACAGAACATTTTCATGATTGCAGGAAGTTCTGCCACACAGTTGCTACTGTAAATAAAGAGACCAGGAGAACAGAGGAGGGAAAGAAGAGGAGGGGGGGGGAGACAAGCAGGGGTGGGGGAGGGAGAGAGGGAGAAGAACAGGTGAATATTTAGGAAGTGGGTAGAAAAGAGCTTAGCAAGGAAGACTGAGATGCAACAGCCAGTGAGGTAGGAGCTGACCAGAAGTGATATAAAGTAAAATACTGAGAAGAAAAAATAGTAAAAAATAGATTATCTGCTTGGGTTGTCATTTATTTACTCAACCAACAGTGGGGATAGGGGTGATAAAGGACACCGCAGCACAGTCCCTGCCCTCCAGGAGGTCACAGTGGCATAAGGAGATAGCATATTATAATGCAACAGCCTAGAACACAGGGACAGTGAGAGCTTATTTTATGGAAGGAGAAATTGGCCTCTGTGATGCGTTTGAGGTCTTTGAGCTAAAGGGGCAGCACCAGGACTCCACCCCAACTCCTTGAGTCCCAGTCAGGGCTCTTTTCTCATAATAAAGACTTCCAGCTAAACAGGTAGGCAAGCACCATCCTCAACCCACCTACACCAGATCCCATCCCCATGCCTGAGAAAGTCATCACCTACCTCCTCTGGCTCAGGTGTCACCACCTTGAAAGACCCCTGCACCCCTAGGTCAGAGCTCCAGGCCAAGATTTCTAGCTCAGTGTGCCTGAGGCTCCGTCCTTACCAGTGATACTCCATCCCCTCCCCTTCCCATCCCAAAACCTAACCGTGCCCCCCCACTCCCAGCCTCCACCGAAGTGCAGCTGCACGGCCTGGGCTTACTTGTGCTCAAAGAGTCCTCTCTGAGACCCTGCGGGGCTGTGCCTGGGGGTGCTGGCTGTGGGGTGCATAGGCAGAGGTCTGTGCCGTCGGAGCAGGCCAGTAGGGCAGACCTGGCTGGTGCCAGTGGAAAGGGGCACAGCCAGCTGGCACAGAGTGGGCCATGGATGTCCACTGTGTCTGGAATCGGCCTACAGGCTGGGAAGACCTGGAGGGTAAGGGGCAAGGGGCTGGGAGCTGTGACTCTTGGGTCCCTGGGAGGAGCCCATCTCTACCTTGGTTGCCAAAGGGGGAGGAGAAGCTAAGAACCACTCACCCTCACCATATATGTCACTCAAATGGCTTCCCTTTCCCTCATCCAAAGATTTCTTTCTCCAGAGGTTTTCGTTTCCACCCCAGAATTACCTTTCCTCTGTTTCTAGAACCCCTTGCCTAGCATTCCCCCTCCCACTTCTCTTCCTGACCACCCTGATCCTACTGTGTCTCAGACCATCTACTGTGTTTTGAATGGAGTCAAGGTGAGCTTGGAGAAAACCCTCATCAAGAATGTAAACTTTATAAGATAAGTCCTAAGGCCAAGGCCAGGATCAAACAACCAAGCCTCCTGCATGGCCCTGTCCCTTTCTTATGGTCCACAGGACAGTCTGGCTCCTAAGGCACAGGAAAGGGTCTCCAGCACCTCAAGGGCCCATCTCCATGATGTGCTGGGCTAGGGGTGCCCAGGACCAGTGGATGGTAGGAATCCAGGTCCTTTCAGATTTTCCCCCACTTCCTTCTAACATCCCCTCCCTCCACAGCAGACTGACCTCAAAGTTAGGGCTGGGATTCCACGTTACCTGGTTGCCTTGGCACACCTGGAAGTCCAGGCTGGGGGACAGGGTGCTCCCTGTGCTGCTCGGGGGTTTGGTCTTGTGGCAACAACCCAATTCTGGAGCAGGTTCCCCCTTCATGCCCCTACTACCTGCTGGGAAGACAAATCAGTCACAGGCGAGCAGTAAAGGCCCTTCAAATAGCATGGCTCCAAGGGCAGACTCTCCTGTCAAACTACTATGTGACCTCAAGCCATTCACTGGCGTCCTGGCCTTAGTTTCCCTATCTGTGAAATGGGAGAGTTGGATCGGCTGATGTGTGAGGACTCTCTCAGTGCTGACATTTAGAAGCCAGTGATCTGTTCCTGATAGGTACAAAAAGAGGATCAAATGGAGACCAGCCATTCAGAGGTGAGGAGCAGAGTTGGCCTGATTCCCTTCCCTGGGGAAGAGAGGAGAGACAAAGGTCTTCATGAAGGTTATTCCCAAGTGCACTCAGAGATCTGAGGGAATATTCCAGACTCCTCAGGGCCACAGGTAATTTAAGAAGCCACTCTCCTCCATGATGGGAGGGACCCATGACTCTATGACTCTACCAACCACAGGCGCCCCACCAAAGGGAGCTCTCCACCAAGGAGAACTGCATTCTAGCTCACCCACATAGCTTTTCTGGGCAGCTGAGGAAGCCCCAGTGTCCCGCCGCCCAGACTTTCCCAGCTCAGCTCTCTCACCGAGGTCAGCCTACAAGAACGGGCCAAGAGTCCTTCAGGTCCGCTGACTGGCCTACTGGCAAGAGGCCCTGAGTGCTCAGCTGTCTGTTCAGTTAGCACCTCGCTTCCCTGCCATCTTTCACTGAAGGCAAAGCACACCAATCACCTCAGCTCAGCAAATACCCCAAGGCCCTTCCCCTTCCCCTTCCCCTCAGTAACTGTATTCCCTCTTTATCCCAAGTGCCCCTGGGGAATCCTAGCACCCTCCAAAACCCAGACTCCTTTCCTTTCCCAACTCCTCCCAATCCTGTCTCAGGTCTCAAAACAAATACCCCCAAAGCAGAGGCCTCCTGCCTGAGACTCTTCACCTGGCTCTGCAGAAGTCCTCCTGGCTGGAGAAGGAGGAAGCAGGCAGGCAGGCTGGTAGCTGCTGCCTGTGGCTGAGGCCGCAGTGGGTGTAGAGAGATGACAGGAAGGTGCTATGTTTGATGTTGCCCAAAAAGGAAGAAGAGGGCAGGCTGGAGGCCCCGTGAGACCTGACAAAGGGAGCCGCCCTCCAGCCTTCACCTGCCTGTGGCAACTCTACAGGACAACATGCTGGTATGGTGCCGGGGCAGTTTCTGGAAGCACTTTAAAGATTGTTGAGCCCTGGCTGTATAGCTCAGTGGATTGAGTGCAGGCCCACGAACTAAGGGATTGTGGTTCAATTCCCAGTCAGGGCACATACTTGGGTCGCAGGTCAGTTCCCAGTGGGGGACACACAAGAGGAAACCATACATTAATGTTTCTCTCCCTCTCTCCTTCCCCTCTAAAGATAAATGAATAAAATATTTTAAACAAAGATTGTTGAGCATCCCTTCCCCTTTTCACATAGGGTTTCAGCTCTAATCCAGTGCTTCGCAATTGGTGGCTGAATACCCGCTCAGGGACACCAAGTGCCTGCAAGGGGTCAAAGATGCTTTACACTCATCAGACACTTTCTGTGGGCTGAACAATAAAATGACTGACACAGAGATGTGCTCTGTCTAAATGTATGTGTTTGTCATTAATTGAGCGTGCTGGTTTTTGAACCGCTGTGAACTGGCAGGCCGCTGGAGTTGTAGTATGTGGGGGTGAGAAGGAGAGAGGGGTTGCTGTCTCTGGTCCTTGGGAAGTGCTCACGGATGGGAACCAGGGTTGAGGGGCCTGTAGGGGTGAGTGGGAGTCGCTCGGGAGGCCTTTGAAGAAAAGCTGCATCTGGAGTGGGGACAAGAGCTGGAGGTATAGACAGGGGTCCTCAGGCTCCTGGGCCACAGCATATTTAATTAATTATTATTAAATAATTAATGTGATTAATAGTTACAAAAGAACACGTAATAGTGGCAAACATTTCAAACAATAGAATATAGAGACAAAAAAAGTGGAAGCTCACCTCCTTCACAGTTTTCCAGGAGTCGTTGTGAATTGTTTGATGTTTATCGTTCTAGATATGTATGTATGTATGTATGTATGTACGTATGTATTTTTTAAATTTTACGTATTTCTTTTTAGAGGGAGGGTAAGGGACGGAGAAAGAAAGGGAGAGAAACACTGATTGGTTTCTTCCCCAGGGACCAAACCCACAACCCCGGCATGTGCCTTGACTGGGAGTTGAACTGGTGATGCTTCTGTTTGTGGGAGGACGATGCCCAACCAACTGAGCCACATGGTCAGGGCTATCCTTCCAGACCTTTATCCATGAACCCCAAACAGGTAGATGGAATTTTTAATTTGTTTTACATTCAAGTCGATTATGTGATGCATACTGTTCTTCAGCTTTTTCTGTTCAACAACCTCCCATGACTATGATTTCATGTCAGAACATGTACATCTGCCCCTGCTTTTTCCTGACTATACAGTATTCTATTGCAGGGGTGGACATAATACTTAGCATTCCTCTATTGGCAGACTCTAGTTTTTCCCTGTCCCATACAATACTGAAAAGAACCTCCATTCAGAGGTTAAGAATATTAGCTCTGCTGGATTGAATCTTAGTTCTGTGACCTTATGGCAAGTCATTTAACTTTTTTTCTCATCTGTCAAATGGAGATAATAATAGTTTTCACCTCACAGGATTTTTCCTTGAAGATTCCTCAAGATAATTCACATAACGCTCTGGCCCTAAGCAAGCAGTTGACAAATGTTAATGGGTTACAGTTAATATTGTACATTAATCTTTGCCTAGGTGGGCAAGTATCTGCCAGTCAGCTTCCTAAAAGTGTTAAAAGTGTGATAGATGTTTCTGGCTCTCTTTGGAAGACCAGAATGTGGGCAGCATGCTTGGAAAGATGAACTATATTCAGCTTTATTGCCTTGTTTATGAACCCCTGGTTGGAGACCATTGATCTCATCCAATGAAGTCTTCCCCAGTCTACACACCACAACAGTAATTGTTCTAGGCATTAAACCCTCCCATGTGCCAGGAACCCTGCAGAGCACTTCAACATGCTTTGTTTAACTCAATCAGCACAATGGCCCTGCAAGATGGGTGCAATTATTCCTGCTTTCAGACAAGAAAACTGACACTCAGAGAAGGCAAGCAACCGATTCAAGGTCACATCACCCAAGTTGGGGCTATGACATCTCCACAGGGGAAGGACAGCTCACAGAAGAGTTGGTGCAGGGCACCTATGAAGAAGTAAAAGGGACCACAGATGTGGTATAGTAGAATCTGGATTCCCTTCAAGAGCCAAAGGACCCCCAGAAAAATGAAAACCGACAGAGGCCCAGAGTTAAGGACTGGGGAAATGAGCTGTGGTATTAGCACCTGGCACCCTACAAGAACCTTTCATTCATTCATTCATTCATTCACTTATTCATTCACATATTTCTTGATTACCAGCTATGTATCAGGCATTGGGCTAGTTGCTTGGAATATAGCCCATAGGAACATAACTCAGACCTTGGAATTTACAACCCACTTATCAGAAGGCTTGTGGGATGTTGCTGAAATAGAAAACAGTGTGCGACCATCAGGGCTTCTTATTTTAGGGTGGGGGCTCAGGAAGCAAAGTAGAGCCAAGGGTGTCTGGTTGGTTTGTGCAGTAACAAAGAGAAGAAATGGGACTTCAGGCAGAAGGCCTACTTCCTCTTTGAAAACCCGAGACCCTCCAATCCATAATCACTGCCACCTACAACCTTAATGCCAGCCAGCTGAGCTCCCAGATAGCTCAGTGCATGGGACCTGAAGCTCTGCTGCATGGATACTTTTGAAGGATATCAAGGAAGGAGTCCAGGAGGGGGTCTGGGTCCATCATTGGTCCAGAGGGTTAAGCAGCTGTGTGTGGAATGTGACTCTGAGGGCAGGGTGGAGGGTGGGGAGCTCAGCCCAGTGCACAGTGCTCTTGTTTCACTTTGCTCTGTGGTTGACACCTGCCTCCCTCTGCCTGACACCCACTTATCTCATCTCACCGGACACCCCAGTTGTCAGTCTGTCAGATGCAATGAGTTGGACTTTGGCTTCACACCCTGGGGTGGCAAGATCTTGAGATAGGGCATGCCTGCTTTCACATTTGCAGAAGGAGCCTCGAGACTCTTGCATCTTCCCCTACACCCACCCGTGACTTTCCAGTTCCTCTGTGGGAAAATTTACAGATATGCCTTCAGATTAATTCTGAGGTCATCTCACCAATCCTTTCATCTCTACCATCCTAGAGGATAGGAGATAAAAAGGCAGTCACATCTCTGGGTTTCAAATCCACTGGAGCTTATATACTCTCAACTACCATGCAGTGCTGCATACCATGCACATGGATGCCCTTTCCAGCCTTGTGTGAAATGGAAAAATTCAAGTCCACCTATATGTCCACCATTAAAAGAATGCTACATATTATGTATGGCCATGCAACAGAATACTATGCGGCCAGGAAAAAGCAAAGAGTAAATTTATTGAGTGCGTTCTATATGCCAAATCTCTTCACAATTGTATCTCATTTAATCTTCCTTGAAATCTTCCAAGGTAAGAATTATTAACGTCCCCATTTTATAAATGAGAAAACAAACACTCAGTAAAGGTACCAGGTAGTATCAACTCATATACTTACAGTAGCCATACAGTTAACATAGTATTGTCCAGGAATGAATATGATACAGACAGTACCTGACACTTAGCCTTGGTGTCAGGATTAACAGGCAAGGATGGGGGCTGAGGCAAACCAGAGAACCAGGAGCCATTCACCATGACTCATCGTAGTTAGGTACCAGTGTTGCCAGATTCAGACTTTTCTAGAGATTTTAAAATCAGGATTTTAATGTAAAATCTCTAGATTTTTTTTCAAAGTTGGTTCAAATATTTTAAAGTAATGTGCCGGTCATTCAGGAGGGATCTGCATGCCAGATTCAGCTGCCTCTGCCCAAGGTCCCAGAAGCCCAGGACTTTCTGTGCTTCCAGTTGTCTCCAAAAGATACAATCCAAATGGAGTCTACCACACAGTCAAAGAATTAATGTCAATTATTTACAGATTTTTCAAAAAAATAGAAGAGGAGGGAACAATTCCCAACTCATTCTACAAGGCCAGTATTACCCTGATATCAAAACCAAAGACATTACAAGAAAACAAAACTAATATCCCTTAAGAATATATTGAATAGCCCTGGCTGGTGTAGCTCAGTGGATTGAGCGCGGGCCTGCAAACCACACGATCGCGGTTCGATTCCCAGTCAGGGCACATGCCTGGGTTGCAGGCCGGTTCCCTGCAGGCCAGTTCCCAGCAGGGGACGCACAAAAGGCAACCATACATCGATGTTTCTCTCCCTCTCTCCTTCCCCCCCTTCCCCTCTAAAGATAAATAAATAATAAAATATTTAAAAAAAAAAAGAATATACTGAATAGATGAAAATCCACAACAAAATGTGAGCAAAGAGGATCCAAGACCACAAAAGAAGGAAAACCCCATGACCAAATGGGATTTATACCAGAAGTGGTTTAACATCCAAAAATCAATTAATGTAATGTACTATGTGAATAGAATAAAGGACCCAAACCACATGATCATCTCAATAGATGCAGAAAATGTGCTTGACAAAATTTAACACCATTTCATAACAAAGAACACTTACCCAGCTGGGGATAGAAAAGTTCGTCATTGTGATAAGGGCATCTGCTAAAAAAATACACCACCAACATTGTACTTAATGGTGAAACCATCTCAGATCAGACACAAGTCTAGGATATACACACCCACCACTTTTTTTTCTTTAATTATATTTCATTGATTGTGCTATTACAGTTGTCTTGATTTTTCTTTCCCCTTTTGCCCCTCCCCCACCCAACAACCCCATTCCTTCAGACAATCCCCACACCATTGTTCATGTCCTTGGGTCATACGTATAAGTTCTTTGGCTACTCCATTTCTTATGCTGTACTTTACATCCCCGTGGCTATTCTGTAACTTCCTATTTGTACTTCTTAATCCCCTCACC